CAGGCACCTTGGACTGGCTGGTGACCAGTCCAGACTGTTCCTCGCCTATTCATCTACATCGCCCAAAGTCGACACTACCTCACCCATTGTCCTCGATATGCCTCGATTGTGAGGATTAAGCGGTTCAGATAATGGATGGATGGATAAACAAATTTATTGCTAGTAATTTCACCTATTTTTCTGACACCCTCCCTGCTCCTTCTGCCCACCTTCCCCTTTGATAACTAACCTTTCAGCTCATGTCAAATGTCATTTTTAGTTTTTTGTTTTTTGATCATGCCACGGGCCGCTGAAAATGGATTGCAGGCCGCAAATGGCCCCAGGGCCGTAGTTTAGAAACCTCTGGTTTAAGGGGTCAAAAATGAGTATGTGTGTCCAACACTTCATTTCCTGTTGTTCAGGCTTGTTGAATTAAATCGGCAGCTCCTCTCCCGGTTACAGCTATGTAATGCACGCCTTTAAAAAAAAAACGAAAACAAAAAAACCCCAATCATGCTGTGTTTTATCTCCTAGGGAAATGTTGTATGATGCAGCAGAGTATGAGCGTGAAAGCCTGTCTCCCAGCAGCATTTCTACAATAAATAAATGCTCTGCAATATTTGTAGCGACTGGTGCAATATTCACTCACCATCTTCTCCAGAATAACCCGTAGCGATTTTAGGCTCCGGTCCCCAGCCGTGGCTGTTCCTGCTCTGAATTTTTATTTCATACGGGATGAATGTTGACGTGTTTCTCACAACAAAGGAGTGTCTTTTGATCAGGTGTTCTGTCCAGGTATCGTCCACAGCGAGTTTCCTGTAGCTGACTTTGTACTCCAGGCCTGGGCCATTGTGTTCAACAGGCAACAGTGGCTACACAACGAGGACATTTCTTAGCGTTGGGTGACGATCCGAGTACAGTGGTACCTCTACTTCTGATATTAATTGGTTCTGGAAGAAATTTCTGAACTAGATGCGTTTTCCATGTAAATGCCCTAATTTGCTCCAAGCCCCCCCAAAATTCAGACATAAATGTTTCCTCAAGCATTAAAATGCATCAAAATATGGAACAAATACATGTTACAATTAAATTATTGCACAATAAATGAGAGTTTCATGCATCATGTAAAAAAGCAATGAATAGAGTAAAAAATAAAAGTGATGGCCATTGAACTTTTAACTGCGTCCTCATCGTTTTTTGTCCTCTTTAGTCCATGTTCTCACTCAGAAGTGGTTTTCGTCTGGCGTTTTGTAAAGATCTGATCCAAGGACGTTCGCTTTTGTCTGCTTTTCCCAATCCTTCGAAATTGTCCAAGGCAAACATCAGCATAGTGAGCGATCGCCTGACTGGTGAAGACTTTTTCTGGGTGATTCACATATACGTAAAATTATCGGAATACGATGAGGACGCTGCATAAACATTCTATATACACATATAGACACATACGGTAGAGGCCCTTCTTAACCAAATGGGATGCCAGGATAATGCTTGGTAATAGCCAATGGCAAAGCAGCTATAAGTATGTTGTGTTCAGGAAACTCGGAGCTGTGACTAGCAGGCCATACTGTATTTTTCCCTTTCGTATCTTGAAATTGCTTTTGTAATAAGAGGCAATGATTTCTTGTTGAAACGTTTCGTAACTTGAAAATTTCGTAACAAGAGAGACGTTCGTAAGTCAAGGTACCACTGTCCATGGAAATGTCGTTTTGTAAAATCTTACCTCCCAGCTGATGCCCATTTGATGAGGTAGGCGGCCTTCTATTTTAATGTTTTCTGGGTTCCTATCAGGAGCTTTGAAGGAGGGAGGGGGAAAAAAGATGATTCTTGGACACTGAATGATGCACACACAGTACTGTCATCGCTAAGCCGCAACAAAATACTGTGGAGCAAACTTCTTTTGTAAGTTCAAAGGTATACTGTAACTGATGGCAGAATTACACTGTGTGATTCTGGCTGGCCCCCCACACAATTTAAAAAGAAGTGTGAAAACTTAATCAGAGCAGAAAGCACAGACTCAAGCGAGAGAGTGAGCGAGTGAGTGAGTCTCACCAGCTGGGGGGGTTTTGTAGCGCTCAGTGGGCTCACTGGGGGGCCCAGGTCCAACAGCATTCACTGCGTACACTCTGAACTGGTAGTTAAGATGTCCGTGGAGTGCCAGCTCGGCTGTTGCCTGGTTACCGGGGACTTTGTGGAGCTCTTTCCACTTGCCCGGTTCCCATTGGCTCTCCTCATATTCCACAATGAATTCTGTATTCATACAAGAGATCAGGTCGCTGCACATTTAATCATCGTCACACACATACGTGAACATTCCTTTGAACTTTTGAAATCATACGTGGGCATTTATGATGTATTATCTTCATGAAGGCTCACTATTGTGGTTAAAAATGAAGACATTGCTGATTTAATTTCATTAATTTGAACTCATTTAATGTGATGATTAGATGAAGATGATTCTTAACTAAATTTGCCAGGAAAGAAAATGCATTTGGGACATTTCGATGTGCAGGTTAAACGCTTTTAGTAAAACTAAATACTGGTTGAGCAGGCTCATCACAGCATATGAAATATTTCAAAATTTCGACTTCTTTCTTGATTATTGCGTAAGAGGTTGGGAACTTTAACATGACAAGAGCACAATAACTCTTAACTTTTTAAATGGCCATAATGTGTCCGTAAACATTAATGAAAAAAGTGAACCCGTAATTCATGTCAGTTTTGTCTCACCGATTACGGAACTGTTGTGGTCACTGCCAGGCACCCAAGCCAAAAGGATATGTCTTTGATCCTTGAGTTCAGTTATCTCGACGTTTTGCGGGGCATCTGGAACATCTGCAACATAGAGAGAAACATTCAAGTCACATGAGCTTTTTCAATATAAGGTGTGCTCTTTCTCGCGGTACTCAATCGTACATATATGGTATTGCTATCCACTACTCACTCTGCTGACCAGGTTTGTGTGGTGAAACACACATCCTTACTGAAGCAAAAAAATAAATAAAAACATGTAGCAATTAAGCTTGACAAAGGAGTGTTTTATGAAACACCTGTTGTCGCTTCTGGGCCAACATATGCAGGGCCCTCAGCGCTCTTAAGTTAAGTGCTTCTGTAATTCCTTTGCTATCAAGGGGAATGACTCCAAAACAGTACTATAAGGATGAAAGGATGTATTAACATACATTTGCTTAACAACTGAGTCACTGCTCTGTCCGCCGTGTAAAATATGTGCAAGTAAGAAATAAAAACTAGAACGTTCTCATTGCAGAGACACATGGCATTGGAATATGTTTTGATTTCGCAATCAATACATCCTTCCCATCCGTGGCCCATCACGATACACTGTGTATATGAAAGAGGTAGAAAGTATTATTCACACGAGCGCCTTACCAAGTACTGTCAGAAGCGCAGTACGATTGACCCCATCCAGACGCGTTCTGGCCAGGCATGTGTATACTCCCTCATCATTTAGGTTCACGTTCATGATCTGCAGCATGCCATCACCCACAAAATACCTGAACATAAAAGCCTTTGATGAGGCCCTGGTTGACAACAACACACATGACCAGGAACCGATGGAAGGAAAAACTGCATCTGCAAACCTGGAATGTTCCTCTGTGGGAAATGTCATTTCCTCCCCATCCTTTATCCAAACCACCTGAAAGGAGTCGGCAAGACTTTTGTCATACTCGGCCTGACACATCAACTGGGCTGTGGTTCCGCTGATGACCTGCATGTCCTGAGGTCCAAAAGCAATGTGTGTGGGGTCTAGAAACACAAAGCCAGTGGGGAAAATGTCTGAGACCATGTAAATGTGTCACTCATCCAGCCATTCATCCATCATCCCATCTTTTTTTTTTTTCATTTCCAGCTGAGCAGGAGCCTTGCACTTATCACGGATAAGCTAGCTATCTAGCTAGCTAGCTTCCTCGATATCTAGATAGATAGACACAAAAGGGTGAAAGAACGTTCTGAAAAACACTCGATTTTCACAAATGCCACTTCATGTGTATACTCCCTCATCATTTAGGTTCACGTTCATGATCTGCAGCATGCCATCACCCACAAAATACCTGAACATAAAAGCCTTTGATGAGGTCCTGGTTGACAACAACACACATGACCAGGAACCGATGGAAGGAAAAACTGCATCTGCAAACCTGGAATGTTCCTCTGTGGGAAATGTCATTTCCTCCCCATCCTTTATCCAAACCACCTGAAAGGAGTCGGCAAGACTTTTGTCATACTCGGCCTGACACATCAACTGGGCTGTGGTTCCGCTGATGACCTGCATGTCCTGAGGTCCAAAAGCAATGTGTGTGGGGTCTAGAAACACAAAGCCAGTGGGGAAAATGTCTGAGACCATGTAAATGTGTCTGTCACCCATCCAGCCATTCATCCATCATCCCTCCATCATCTCATCTATTTTTTTTTTCATTTCCAGCTGAGCAGGAGCCTTGCACTAGCATTATCACGGATAAGCTAGCTAGCTAGCTAGCTATCTACCTCGATATCTAGATAGATAGACACAAAAGGGTGAAAGAACGTTCTGAAAAACACTCGATTTTCACAAATGCCACTTGTAGAATGCCACAGATATGATTAGCTGTTATAGCTGCCTAAGTTGGCTACTTCAGTGAGTGAAAAATGTACAGTACATTTTTCTTTGAGATTGATTCACTGATTTCTATTGTATCTTGACATGTTCATTGGTTATATGCTTCCACTGCAGAGGACGATGAGATATTCCAACAGCATGACTTTGACAGAAAGAAAAGGAAAAGAAAAAAACTAAGTGTTCTAAAACTTTTGACTAGTGAACAGATGTAATTGCTTTGCGTACCTTTTCCGGACCTTTTTTTTTTTTTCATTTTAAAATTTACAATAAATGTGAGTATACAAAATGTACACGTCTTCTTCTTTCAAAAAACAAACACCTTCATGTACTTAATTCCTTTCCAATGATTAGTTCTTCCAGTCTGGAACCAAGTCATTATCCACAGCCATCCAAAATCCCTGTCATCTTTAAGGCTAATTTATTAATTTACCTCAACCATTACAACTCTCATGAATAGGTTCATTTGTCATCATTTGTGTTCATTTCTGCTTGGCCCTTTCAGAACTATCTTGTCAACTAATGCTTGAGCAATTTTCTTTTTTTGTTGTGATACCTTTCACTGCCAGCACAGCCATGATAGACGACTTGCCCTCGCTGTTATCGGCAACACAGACGTATTCGCCGCTGTCTTTCTTTTCCGCACTGGAGATTTGTAACGACCCGTTCTGAAGGGTAACAAATCTTTCTCCCTCAATGGTTTCTGGAGTCTCATCTTTGGCCCTAGGAGAGGGAAGGAATGCTTTCAAATACACTTGGTGCTGCATATCTGACAACCAATTCCATTATACCGAGCTAAATTAAAAGCAATATTTTTACAGTGTTCACAATATCGCATATTTCCTTCTGGGTGAATGGTCAAAAATTCCGACAGGTACTGGACACTTCTTGAAGAAAGTTTTCCCATAAGAGGTTGAGCTGTAGTACTATTTTCCGTACTATAAGGCGCTTCAGATTATGAGGCGCATCTTCAATGAATAGACTATTTTAAAACGGTTTTCATATATAGTGCGCACCGCATTATAAAGCGCATAGAATTGAAGCTACAATAGTGGCTGCGGTTGCGCGATGCAATTGGACAAACTCCGCCATACATCGTTTGGGATAGGCACCCTAATGAGGACAAGGGGTACAGTAGATAATTGATGGATAGAAAGAATGCTTGTTTTCTGCTATATAACGTCACAATCGCTCTTACTTGTGGTCCAAATGTGCGCCTTTGTGACCTTGCCATGTATTTATATCCCAGCCAAGTTGCTCGCAGTTGGTCACAGCCGCCATCGGGTGTCATACGATGCGCTTAATTGGCGGTTCTCATTGGTAATGAAAAGGCTTTTGAAATGTGACGGTGCGGCAGTTATTTTGAGGTCAAATTAACTACACAGTATGCAAATATCTATAAGGCGTCTCTTTACCGTAATAGTCTGAAGTCTTTTTCGGTTGCTGCACGTTTTAATTTAACAAAGCCTATTCCTCAATCTTTTATGAATCTCAATCGATGTCAGTAAAGTTTTTAAGTGGCCCATCCCCAGACACAAACTAGTAAGAACAAAAAGTGTATCGGTCGGGAGTAAGATCCCTTTTAAAGGAAATGAAGCAGGGATTCAATGCTCATGAATAGAATCTAATTAGCCCCAATTTCGAGGATGGAAAGAGGATAATCTCATTAAACAGACAGAAGCCTGTGTGGCTTGAACACCTGAAGCTCCGTGGATTCAATAGTTGACTCACACGCTGCAGTTATACACTTTTTTTCTTTCCTCAGTCACACTCACTGAAGTGTTTATTTATGACTAAGCCCCCCCCCCCCCCCCCCCCAAAAAAACACCGCACGACGTGTCAGGTTTTTCCTACATCATTTCTGTGAAATTTCTCACCAACAGTCCCATGCTTCTTACCAAGAGATTGTGGGAGGTGGCGAGCCAAAAGCACTGCAGTTCATGGCCATGTCCTCGCCACGTATGACTGCGTACTCGTGGTGGTCCTCAGTCAGGATCAGAGGAGCCATATCTAGAAGTGAATGGAAAAAAAAAAACATACTAATGGCATATTGCTGCTGGATGAAAAAGTGCACACAAAAGCACCATCATTCTTTTGGTTAATTTGAAGACCTTCAGTCAGCTTGTGGCAGCTTCCCTTTGTCTTTGTTTTTCCCAGACCTATAATATTGTGAATTCTGAAGCATTTTATGTTCTACCGGCACTCTAACACCTCCATGCACAGTAAGTGACCATCCACACCGAGAGAGCATGACACATATAAATGTGAAACATACTGTCTGAATCTTTTCTTGTAAAAAGCCCATTGTTGTTTCAAAGATGCAATGATATACAATTCCAAAATGAGCGAAGGTCATCTTCACAAAGTAGGCCTATTTAAAAAGTGGAAACATCCAATTAATGTGAATAGATTATACCACAGAAATTAATATTTAAAAATAAAATAAGAACCACTCAAAGTACAAAAGCTATGAAAGCAAAGTGAAGGGCATGTTTGGAATAAAAAGGAATACAAATTTCAAATTGGACTAAAATTAGTGAGTCCTTGATGCAAAAGTGTAGAAAAAGTACATGAGTTTACGACAGGCCGTCTCAAAAAGCGGGATAGGACCCACATTGTGGTGTGATGCCCTGAGGGGGCGCTTGTGACCCCTGGGAACCTGTTATTTTATTTATTTATTTATTTATTTTGCCATGTAGAGTAATGTGTAATTGCACATCACACCAGTAGGTGGCAGTGGGACACTGATTCTCAGCAAGTGCTCAAGGACTATTACCTTCTCTGCAACTATGGACTTAAAACAGTTGTCTAGACAAATTCAGATCCTGTTCATAGTCACGATGGAGAGTCGGCGGATGGAAGGGGACGGAAAATATTTTCTTCTTTCCTCATTGATACTGTACAACTGTTTTAAGTCCATCTTTGCAGAGGAGGTAATACTCCAAGAGCACTCGCTGACAATGAGAGTGCCACTGCCCCCTACTGTGGAGGTTAAGACATATCGGACTGGTCTAGAATGTTTGTATCCGAAATGCCAAAATGTTAGTGCATTACTGCGCTTAATATTTTTTTTTTGTTCATAAGGACTTTGTTTTATTTGTATCCTGTATATGTCTAACATTTTATATGTCTATATTTTGTCTAGTCACACTCACGGTATTTATATGTATAGGGTTATTTTTTTTCCCATCACACTAGCAAGACACCAACTACAGCAACCAAATTCTACATATCTTTAACGTACTCGATGAAGAAAAATGTTTGTAATTTTGCTTTCGAGCTTTTTCTTACGCAGCCTACTCACTCATGACCATGATGTTAATGTTGCCCAGAACAACGCCATGTCTGTTGGCTGCTTCACACTGGTATACGCCACTGTCATCTGGCGTGGCATTGTGGAGCACCAGTGTGTCATCAAGCACTCGTTTGTTATTCAAGGGGTTGTCTGAAAAAGAAATAGTAAATCATGTTGAAAAAAAATAAATCTTTCTGATAACCTCTCAACTGGTCCTAACAAGTGTCACTTTTTTTTTTTAACTTCACTTTTAACTTCCTTTTCCACCCTAAACGGACTGCACGAGGGTGCACCCATGTGGGAAAGTAAAATAGGGACTCCTCCAAATTTGTTCCCCAAATTTGTTTTTGTTCCTGGGTTCACATTTTATGTCAATGCTTCGTCACACTTTTTTAATAGTCAAGCTTGTCTCTTGTGGTTTAAGGAACGAACAGTCAGCAGAGGTGCTTGCTTGTCATCTTGAACTCTGTTTGACAACAATGACTGATGTGCAAACAGATGCATGAAAGCACGACTTTCCATCACCCACCTTCAAAAATGTTTCCATTTTTTCTCCACAGTATGTCTGGTTGTGGTTTCCCGCTGACCGAGCACTTGATGTGCACATCAGAGCCGATCACAGTCAGCTGGCTGTGAGGCGGCTCTGTCAGCCACTTTGGAGGCTCTGGGAGATGTCGAGAAAAGACACATGTTTGTTTTGTGTTAAATCAACTGTCAACACGATGAGTTAAAAACAAAAGCGCCCACGGTGAGCGTCTGGCATAATGAGCACCTGATGTTGACTAACCTTCTACTATTACATCAAAGTAGTGGACAGCCTGTCCAGCTGAGTTCTTGGCTAAGCACATGTATTTGCCCTCATCACTTTCCTCTATTGCAGCGATGGTCAACAGTTTTCCAAAGTTGTCAAGTTTAGCTCGAGCGGGAAGCTCGTCTCCCATCTTCATCCATTCTATCTTCGGAGTGGGACTGCAAAATGATACATTGAGATGTTAGGAGCATTCAGGACAGACATATGTGAGGCTAAATGTTATCGGGAACGCAGTACAGATCCTTACTTTCCCCCTGGTACACACTCAAGCTGAAGTTCGGCTCCTTTCAACAGCACTTTCTCTGTCTGGACACCAGAGGGCAGCAGAAGACTGGGTGTTCTCACGGGAGGACCTGCCACCACCACCACAGTACCCCCCTTACTTTAATGCATAATTTATATCAATGGTCATATCAGCAAAAGCTATTTACAACTCCCAGCTGAACTGTTTCATATTTTCAAAAGAAGCACTAATATTTTGCTGGGTCTGAGAAAAGAAGTGGGGCAGAGGGGATCACTCACCGAGATCGCCGCCGTCAGCAAATTCATACTCTGGTGTCCCTGCAAAGGAAATGAAACATTGTAAGGAGGATATACAGTAGTTTTAGCAGCTATAGCAATTAAATACTCTGACAACACCGCACAGTCTAAAGACCAAACTAGACAGGACATGCCCTGCATTTTGGTATGCATTTAAAAAAAAAAAAAAAATATATAGGACTATTACCTTCTCTGCAACTATGGACTTAAAACAGTTGTCTAGACAAATTCAGATCCTGTTCATAGTCACGATGGAGAGTCGGCGGATGGAAGGGGACGGAAAATATTTTCTTCTTTCCTCATTGATACTGTACAACTGTTTTAAGTCCATCTTTGCAGAGGAGGTAATACTCCAAGAGCACTCGCTGACAATGAGAGTGCCACTGCCCCCTACTGTGGAGGTTAAGACATATCGGACTGGTCTAGAATGTTTGTATCCGAAATGCCAAAATGTTAGTGCATTACTGCGCTTAATATTTTTTTTTTGTTCATAAGGACTTTGTTTTATTTGTATCCTGTATATGTCTAACATTTTATATGTCTATATTTTGTCTAGTCACACTCACGGTATTTATATGTATAGGGTTATTTTTTTTCCCATCACACTAGCAAGACACCAACTACAGCAACCAAATTCTACATATCTTTAACGTACTCGATGAAGAAAAATGTTTGTAATTTTGCTTTCGAGCTTTTTCTTACGCAGCCTACTCACTCATGACCATGATGTTAATGTTGCCCAGAACAACGCCATGTCTGTTGGCTGCTTCACACTGGTATACGCCACTGTCATCTGGCGTGGCATTGTGGAGCACCAGTGTGTCATCAAGCACTCGTTTGTTATTCAAGGGGTTGTCTGAAAAAGAAATAGTAAATCATGTTGAAAAAAAATAAATCTTTCTGATAACCTCTCAACTGGTCCTAACAAGTGTCACTTTTTTTTTTTAACTTCACTTTTAACTTCCTTTTCCACCCTAAACGGACTGCACGAGGGTGCACCCATGTGGGAAAGTAAAATAGGGACTCCTCCAAATTTGTTCCCCAAATTTGTTTTTGTTCCTGGGTTCACATTTTATGTCAATGCTTCGTCACACTTTTTTAATAGTCAAGCTTGTCTCTTGTGGTTTAAGGAACGAACAGTCAGCAGAGGTGCTTGCTTGTCATCTTGAACTCTGTTTGACAACAATGACTGATGTGCAAACAGATGCATGAAAGCACGACTTTCCATCACCCACCTTCAAAAATGTTTCCATTTTTTCTCCACAGTATGTCTGGTTGTGGTTTCCCGCTGACCGAGCACTTGATGTGCACATCAGAGCCGATCACAGTCAGCTGGCTGTGAGGCGGCTCTGTCAGCCACTTTGGAGGCTCTGGGAGATGTCGAGAAAAGACACATGTTTGTTTTGTGTTAAATCAACTGTCAACACGATGAGTTAAAAACAAAAGCGCCCACGGTGAGCGTCTGGCATAATGAGCACCTGATGTTGACTAACCTTCTACTATTACATCAAAGTAGTGGACAGCCTGTCCAGCTGAGTTCTTGGCTAAGCACATGTATTTGCCCTCATCACTTTCCTCTATTGCAGCGATGGTCAACAGTTTTCCAAAGTTGTCAAGTTTAGCTCGAGCGGGAAGCTCGTCTCCCATCTTCATCCATTCTATCTTCGGAGTGGGACTGCAAAATGATACATTGAGATGTTAGGAGCATTCAGGACAGACATATGTGAGGCTAAATGTTATCGGGAACGCAGTACAGATCCTTACTTTCCCCCTGGTACACACTCAAGCTGAAGTTCGGCTCCTTTCAACAGCACTTTCTCTGTCTGGACACCAGAGGGCAGCAGAAGACTGGGTGTTCTCACGGGAGGACCTGCCACCACCACCACAGTACCCCCCTTACTTTAATGCATAATTTATATCAATGGTCATATCAGCAAAAGCTATTTACAACTCCCAGCTGAACTGTTTCATATTTTCAAAAGAAGCACTAATATTTTGCTGGGTCTGAGAAAAGAAGTGGGGCAGAGGGGATCACTCACCGAGATCGCCGCCGTCAGCAAATTCATACTCTGGTGTCCCTGCAAAGGAAATGAAACATTGTAAGGAGGATATACAGTAGTTTTAGCAGCTATAGCAATTAAATACTCTGACAACACCGCACAGTCTAAAGACCAAACTAGACAGGACATGCCCTGCATTTTGGTATGCATTTAAAAAAAAAAAAAAAATATATATATATATATATATATATATTGGTCGATGTTCAAACACTTTGTCAGTGTGATTGTTTTTTTTTTTTTTCTTGTACATTTTCAGAGATGTCTCGTACACCACAGTCGTACTTGATTGAACGCCAATACACCTACATGGCTTGACCTCAACTGCCAATGCAGGCTTCTGGACGATAGTGCGTATGCGGAGAAAGTCAGCAAAGCAGCAGTAGTCCTGACGACTGTCTTTCTGTAAGGCATGAGAGAAGTACAGGCTGCCATCAGTGCCCACGGAAACCCTCTCATCCTGCTCAATGTGCTGCAGACCTGCAAAAAGAGTGCACAGTTCTCTTAGCGACATGGCACTGGAGCCAAAAACAAAGCTATACATAATATGATCAACAATAATATTTTCACAGTTTCATTCTCCGTCTGAAAGAATGGCTTGAAAGTGATAAAGTACGTAAACAACGTTTATAAAAACACAACGTTCAGGACGAATGCTTTTCTTTTCAAGCGATGACTCAGACTTATTTGACAACAATCAAAGGAATGAGGGGAAAAAAATATAGATAGATAGATAGATAGATAGATAGATAGATATTTCTTTTTTTGGGGGGTGTGATCACACATCACACATGCCAATTGCTTTTTCATCCATCCATCCATCCATTTTCTAACCCGCTTATCCTCACAAGGGTCGCAGGAGGTGCTGGAGCCTATCCCAGCTGTCTTCAGGCAGTAGGCGGGGGACACCCTGAATTGGTTGCCAGCCAATTAGGCAAGGCACACATACAGTAGACGAACAACCATTTGCACTCACAATCAAAACGAGGGACAAGTTAAAGTGTTCCATGAGCCTGCCATGCATGTTTTTGGGATGTTGGAATAAACCGGAGTACCCAGAGAAAACCCACGCAGGCACGGGGAAAACACTGCAAACTGGACCCACAAGAAGTAATTTGCTGCCAAGCACTTTCAGATATTAGTAAAACCAGTGTCAATAAATCCACTTTGTAACAACCTGTAAGAGGAGCAATAAAATGCAACTCTACCAACAACAAATATAATTGTCGATTCCGAATTCCGATAAATAGTTTTATTTGCTTATACAATGTAGTCTCATATAATTGGCTTCAATGGAAAGTGTACTTGAATGGAACCAGTGAACTCCGATTGCAAGTGCGCTGGTTTGCGCAGCCCTATTGTTTATGTCTCGGGTCACTGAAGCTTCATTTACAGTCTCATTTAAAGCATAGCCTTAAGTCATTGCTTAAGTCAATTCACAAAGCAAACACATAAAACACTTTGAGCGCAGAGTTATGTTCCATGGCACTTGGGAGAACTGAGCATCTATTCTTACGCAGTTGGGTCGTATATAAAAGAAAAGCACAGCGAGCACTTCTTTTGAGCTCTCACTTTCTGTCATCTGTTTGAGGGCGTCTCGAGAGGCAGACGCTTAGCTCACTACTCTTAGGGAAAAACAGAGGTCACCTTTTGCTCAACAAATCACTTTGTTTTGGCAGAGGTTGTAAAATGGGCACAATGTGAGGTAAACTCAGGTGTGGATCTTTCTTTGCTCGGGTGTGTGTGTGTGTGTGTGTGTGTGTGTGTGTGTGTGTGTGTGTGTGTGTGTGTGTGTGTGTGTTCTTCCAGAGTTTCTGGGTGAATATTTATTTTTTAAAGTAATATGACCCACAGAGCTTGATGCTAATTCCCCGTTAGCATGTCAATGGGATTTAATATTGATTTAAGCATTAGCTCTAGCGATGTTTTTAAAACAAAACGTGTCTAGTATTTAAATATACGATGTTTGTAATTGTTTTTGTTGTGAGTTTAAATGTACATTTTTTCTTTGATTATAATGTTTTTCTAGAAAGTCAAAATTCCCCATTAAAATTTGATCAATTTTCCAGTTGTCCTGAAGTCAAAACTACTGAACACCACCGATCCATTTTGGTCATTTGGATGCTTCCAACTTTGCATGAACAGTCTGGGGAAGGCCCTATTCACTGCACACAACAAGTTCTATTAAGGCATGCTTGAATGACTTTGGAGTGGATGACCCCTAAAAACCACAACAGAGATGGTGAGCAGTCCGGCTCCTGTTCTCCAGTCAAACAACCCACAGACAAACTCAAGCATCTTGTAAAAAGTCTTCCCAGAAGACTATAAACTGTTATTGCTGCAAATGAGACAACGACCCCACATTTTCTTCCAATTTCACTTACTAGATGGTTCATGGTCAGGTTTCCCACTGCATTTGTCAGATTGGTGTACGCGTATCCAAACAAAGTTCACAATTCAAGCATCAGGTTGGGCACTTTCTGAATCAGCTACCTTCGACTGTCTTGGTTTCAGATATTGAGACAGAGGTCGTAATCCAATCCAATGAAAATGTTTCCCCAGCAGCTACTAAATATGAGGCTTCGACCCCTAATTATGACAATGACACTTTTTGCCTGGTTTGATAACAGTTGTTTTACGTGTGTGTGTGTGTGTGTGTGTGTGTGTGTGTGTGTGTGTGTGTGTGTCTGTCTGTCTGTCTGTCACGTCTTTGTCATCATCATATAAAGTGGAGCCTCAACCCAAATGCCTTTTGCATGTACAAACCAGCGATAATACAACCAACACTTGCCTTCATTCATTCTTCCTGACATCCTTATACAAGAGCCATATCAAATATTTTACTCGCACCTCGACAGTGATGTTCCATTTTGACTGAAACTATCAAAGAAATAAATAATCGGCTTGTTTGTGTGGTTGTAACATTCAGTTGGTTTACAACTGTAACGTATCATGCTGAGAGCAGCAATATTTTTCACTCTGGTGTAATAACCATTTGACTGATTCATGCCCCCCCCCCCCCACCAAACCCCTGGTGAAAACTCCACCAGCCACCGCCTTATTTGAGGTCACCAAAATCTACACCATTACCAACACAATAATCGACAAGAATAAAGGGAAGTCCCTGGCACCGTCAATCAAAACTGGACAATACTAACCTTTGTAAAGACAGAATATTTTATATTGATCATCATTGGGTTGTGTAAAAGGTCAGTCATCCTGTTGTGGCTGCTCAATGTAAATGACGGGCACAATTGTGAGCTTACCAATGGACATCCAGTGGATCTTTCTTGGGGGAACGCCTTCCGGGGGGTTACATAGCAGGACAAAAGGTTCTCCCTCATCAACAACAATTGGTTCAATATTCTCCTTTGGAAATTTTGGCATACCTAAATAAAAGGGAGAGGAAATTAATACTACAACAAATACTTTATCATGACAGGCAGTTGTCTGCAATTGGGAATAGCATTTAACCTTTGACAGTAATTGTTACTTACTAGGTACTATCAGTTCAATTGTCTCCGTCATGGCGGTTCCCAGCTTGTTGGAAGCGTAGCATCGATATTTACCCTGAAATCGAGCGAGGCTTTTGTTTTGAAGCACAAATGTACCATCTGTGGCAAGTTGGTCACTTCTGATTGTTGCAGGATGGGGAGGGATAAAGTCGAGGTCATCTTTCGTCCATCTGTATCTACAAAGGGCATCAGGGTGATTGGAAAGTTATACAGCTGTTCATTTTTTTTTTTTTTTTTTAATAGAAGCATAAAAATATTGTCACTTACTGTGGGGGAGGGTTTCCCCTTGCTTCACACCTGATAGTCACGGTGTTGTCAAAAGGAAGGGCAATTATGGGCCCTGTCGTGTGATATACAAAAGTAGGAAGCTGCTCCACTGTCAATAGAGGACAGAAACACGCCATGTAAACAATGTAATGTAATATGAACCAAAAACAACTTTAGTATCGATGCACAATCTAATGATCTTACCAACATGACAAAACTTAAAAGGTGGCGCCGGCACGAGTGGCTGCCTCGGTGACGCGCTCCCTTTGTTTTTGTCATTTCAATGCTCGTGTAGCCTATACTACCAGAGACAAATTTCTTGTGTGTTCTACGTACTTGGCCAATAAAAATGATTCTGATACAGATTAATGTAATCAAAGACATCTCCAAAGATGCTGATTATGAATGTAATTAATGTGCGCAGATCGCGACAGAGGCGGCCCCGTGGTCGACTGGTTAGCACGTCGGCTTCACAGTGCAGAGATACAGGGTTTGATTCCGGTTCTGGCCTTCCTGTGTGTGGTTTGCATGTTCTCCGCATGCCTGTGTGGGTTTTCTCCGGGTCCTCCGGTTTCCTCCCACGTTCCAAATAGATGCAGGGCAGGTTAATGGAACACTTTAAATTGTCCCGAGGTGTGAGTGGGAGCGCGGGTGGTTGTTCGTCTCTGTGTGGCCAGCGCCTACTGCCCGAAGACGGCTGGGATAAACTCCAGCACCCCCCGAGACCCTTGTGAGGATAAAGCGGATCGGAAAATGAATGGATAGATCGCGACAGATGTGTTGAACCAGTTGAGCTTGGTGATTGCAAGAGGACAGAAAAATATGAATACAGTCTTTGGCCAGCAACTATTTGGTCAGGCAAATTTGAAATCATTCCTTTAAAAAATAATAATAATAAAATAAAAAAAATACAGAGTTTCAGATTGAGGGTAATTCAAATTACACAATTGAGCGGTGACCACACCCTGGCCAGATTAGATTGACATGACAGCACATTGTCACATCATGAAGTGACTGTAGGGAATGAATAAATGCAATATCATCAAACACATTTTAGAATTTAGGCTGCAAATGTAGGTCGGCGCTTTCGATGCCGTTCAGTCTACCAGGGAGGGATTCTTTGGCCCTTATGGCCCACCAAGGACGTATTTAATGAATTTCTGATACTGATGGCAAGCTGATCTCTAATGACTCGCTTTACCTTCAGGAGGGATATTGAGGCTTGTGGCCTCGGTGCTCAGAGTCAGCAGCAGGACAAGCTGGAGGCTCCCTGCCAGCCTCATCACCCTCCGCTGGTCAGTGGACACAGAGGTTTTGCGGAATAGGTGTCGAGGAAGATCAATTGGCAATCCTTGGACTTTCTAAGGCACAGCAGACCTGCAGGGCGGCATTTAAAAATATGGTCACGGTAAGTCTAGTTCATTTAGAGGGGAAAAAAAAAAAAGTATGGTAATGGAATCGCAAGTGTCCGCAAATGCAGAATTGAGTGACCCTCCCAGATGAACAGTTGCTTCTCCGCAAATGGACAAGGTGGCAGTGTTTAAAATCGGATCTATAAATAGCAATTTATGCAAAATGGCTGGCTGCCAGGGAAAACAAAAGAAAAACATCGATAAGACTTAAATGCCATAAAAATTTTAATCAAGTCACACTACTTCTCGGGGCTTTTTACTGAGAAATCCTATTAAAGACCTATTCTGGTTTCTTTAGACAGTTGCTTTTTTTTTTTTTTCAAATAAGCTTTCCCTCGGGGAAATAATGATGTGCTTTATTTATGTGTGTTTGGAGAAATTAAAAATGGATTAGCTGCAAGGAGTCTATGCTGTACTCGGTTTCAGAAAAGAGGACAAACTGAACAAAAGCACAAATCAGCGAGAGACAAATATGAGATTTCAATGAATAACTTGAAAAGAAATTCGCAGAAAGTGCATGCTTTCCGACACTTCGAGGTCAACAATTATCTGTCTCCTCTAACAGCACAAAAAAGAAAAACCCAGCGGTAAGTCCAAACCAAAATACATTTGAAGACTGTCAACCGCACGGCAAAGCCACAGGTTAAAGCTATTTTAGCCAGTCAAAAAAACGTTTTTCCAAATGCCCAAAAATATAGCACAGTCCTAAACCAAGGCCAACCTTCTGTGTCTCGTTGGATTGAAAATAATCATAACATGCTGGGCAATGGGGTAGTATCTATAAAATGTGTGTATGCTGCCACACACAGCAAATATTACAATGCAGCTCCATCTGCTGGACATGGTTGTTCCAAAATTCCATAGAAACTAGGTTAGTCGTTTTCACGTAATCCTGGTAAGTACTTCAATAGTACCATTCAAACTGAAGCCCGTTTTCACACTTGGTCAAGAGAATGGTGAATTTAAGAAAAGTGGGTATGCCTTAGGTCACCACAGTTACTCCTGAAGGTCACATTTTAAAGTTCCATCCATCTATTTTATCCCGGGTCGGGTCGCAGGGTCAGCAGCTTTAGCAGGGAAGCCCAGACTTCCCTCTCCTCAGCCACTTCCTCCAGCTCTTCCCGGGGAATCCCGAGGTGTTCCCAGGCCAGCTGGGAGACATCGTCTCTCCAGCGTGTCCTGGGTCATCCCCGGGGCCTCCTGCCGGTGGGACATGCCCGGAACACCTCACCAGAGAGGCTTCTAGAAGACATCCTAATCAGATGCCCGAGCCACCTCATCTGGCTCCTCTCGACGTGGAGGAGAAACGGCTCGGCTCTGGGCCCCTCCCGGATGACCGAGCTTCTCTAAGGTAGAGCCCGGACAACCTGCGGAGAAAACTCATTTCGGCCGCTTGTATCCGGGATCTCGTACTTAAACATTTTAAAGTTAGCCAAACAAAATACATTAATTCACATATGGAGAAAAGTTTGGAGCATGGGGATCTGGATTTTGGACTACATTTCATTGATGTGTCAGGCCTAATTGAGAGCATTTTCCCTCAGGCCTCTCTCCTCTTGTAGCCATGGCCTTAATGAATGCAAAACAACTGCAGTGAACACAAGCCAGTGAGCATCACATGTACCTTATTGTTATGATGTTGTTGAAAAACGGAGCAGAACACTTGTCTGCCTCAGATGACCCTATTTTTTTTTTTTTACCCCCGGCAGGCAGCCTGTCTGGTGGCATGGCATGCTAACAGTAAACCCAACTGGCACAAAGGCTGAGCCGCTGTCTGCTACGTCCAAGTATCAGACTATAAATTGGCTTAAGCCCACCGGCGTTTCACGGCTTAGTTCTCACAGCATCTGAGACTGCGGCAGCATCCTTGGCAGTGCCAAATGGTTTCGCCCTGCAGCTAATCCCGCTATCAGAAGAATGAAGACTGGGATGTCTGACAATGACCGAGTGCGACTTGCAAAGCTGCGAGTGAGCATGTGTTACCCCTTCTTAGCGATGCGGAGTAATGTGGTAATTGGTGTTGACTCGATTCAAGATTAAGCTACTTGAATTTAGAATCAATTAAACAAATTGAGAAAGTATTAAAAACTAAACAGACCTTGCGTGATTATCTTCCGTTGGATTAAGTGGTAAAGCTGGCTAGATGTTTATTCCGGCATAGTAAACACACATTTTCTCACTGTAATAACATGGTAAACTGATTTCATTCTTAGTCTTTCACGATTGTAAAATTCAGGGTGACATGCACACCCACATGCAGCTCTTCGTGCCAGGAGAGCCAACGGGGTGAGAACAAAAAGGCCCTCAGTCGGAGGCAGGAGCATGAAGAGGTGTGGCCTTCCCTTTACATGTGTGACAATCCCAACCACACAACATCAACCTGAAGCCGGCACATAACGTCCATGTGAACATATCCGTAAGTTGCACCCATAAAGGACATGAATTACTCGTGATTAAACGTTACGATCTGTCAACCTGCAACTTCAATGAGAACAAAAGCAATCTTCAATGTTGCTCCAAAGTGAAAAGTAAGCATTTCCTTCAGCGACATCGAGCACCTGAACACATGGCAGACGATGGCCTTAAAGTCTTAGGGATTGTGCTCCCTAAGCCAACTGCATGAAAAGTAGTTGTGGCTGCTCCGCGACACAACTTATCCCTGTTAACACACAATGTGACTCAAAAACGATCACGTCAATATGAGCCACTTGTTACATCCGCCTCCTGTGACTCACAAGGTTTCCTTGGGCAAAACAGTTTGAAATGGAAATAAGCCACAAAATGTTGTGTGCAAACAGACTTTTGAAGAAGTACTTACTAATTCGTGTGTCATTCTACATCCTCAAGTTCACAGGGAAAAGCTCGAATTCCAGAGACAGCACCATGAGGGGGAGCGTTCCAACTCGTCTCGTTGAACGAACACCTCTGACATGTCGGTCCTGCTCCAGCTCAGGCCTGCCCCCTTGAACACGCCCCTCCACTCAAGCGCCCGAAAGGGGTGACAGGAGAGTCGCTCAAGTGACATATGTCGCCAAAGCCTCCGCTTGGCATAAGAGGCTCTCTAAGCCTGTGACAATGACTGGGACAAAGCCTGCACTGCGGGGGGCTTGTCGGGAGCATGAAAGAGGAAGTACAAGCAGGTCTCTTTCTTTTCCTTTTGTTTTTTTTTATTGGGATGCCTCCATCACGCCTTGCGCAAACTATGCACGCCCATTTACACCGTCGCTCATGATTTCAATGCGATGTGTCTGAGGCTCCGTTGAAAGAAGCAGGGAGTCATCTTTTTTTTGAAGATCAGAGCTTTTGTAGAGAGAAGTGTCTTTGCCTTGACTTGCTCCAGGCTACTCGTACAGTAACTGGAGGAATGGGAGCACATTCTTGAAAAAGAAATGATGTTGTTTTCCTGTCTTGCTTTCTGGAGTTTGTCTTTCTAATCTTCTTTTTTGGGCCTTAAAGCACCAAAATCTCTCTCCTAAAGTTGGAACCACAACTTGAATACTATGATAGCATTCAGTCGTGAAAATGCTAAAACAATACCTAAAATTGAAGGACAAAGTCATTTGTGAGTTTTTGACTTCGTACCTGACTTAAGTGTCATGTGTTAATTAACAGACTAGGATGACACTTCCTGTTTGGCAACCGCCTGATCATGACTTGTGTCTTGAAGCAAAACAAGCAATTATGTACCCGTAGTTGTTGTATACCTTCCAGCACACCGAGCCAGTGCTTGACGTCGGTGTAAATCGTTCAATCAAGCATTCCTGCGCATGCAAAAGCAATCGGTGGTGTGTGAGAGCATTATAGTGCAACGAAATTATTGCCAAGTGGCACACGAGCGAGTGTGCACATATACTGTAGGTGTAATTTATGTCGGCTCAGTATACAGCCACACATGAGGGAAGCTTCCAGGCACACCAAGATTTTGTTTGAACCGACAGAGATCAGGTTGAAAGCCTCTGAAATATGTCAATGCTCGCCAACAAGTCTTTTCTGCAACCATATGAGGGAAGAGACTGTCAAACTTCAGTAACTTCCATGTTCTAATCGACAGCACTTGTCATCAGTAGGGATGCAGATGAAGTGGAGCCTTTCCCAGCAGATGGATTTCTCTTCCAATTTTACACAGGGTCCTGCTCCAGGAACACTTATAAGTCAAATTATGACTGTAAAGACATGAATCCAGGCATATTCCACAGCGCTTGTGATCATTAGGTTCCTGGGTGAGCTGGAGCCTATCCCAGCTGATTTTGGACAAAAGGTGGGGGCCCGCCCTGGACTGGTTACCGACCAACCACAGAGCATGCAGACAAATAAGCATTCAAACTCTTTTCCATACATAGACATTGCAAGAGTGTTTCACACTGTGCAATATTTTCTTTTTGTAATCCTGCTCACCCTTGAATGTTTGCACTGCGCAGTACCTCTGCAACCTGCAACACCTGAATAGTGGAATGCCTCTATCCTGTACACAATGTACTGTACATACAAAACTACGACTACTCCTATTACAGAATGTTTCCTTTATTAAATGATCATTTTAAAAATGTGTTCTTATGTAGAATGCCTACCCCCACCCCTCCCCTTTCTTTATCTATATTAGTATTTATCTTTCCTTGAAAATAATCCAAAATCAAAATCCATATTCTGCAAGCTTGTTTAGTTCAAACTGAAAAACCAAAAGCAAAAAAAAAAAAAAAAAAAAACTGAAAAGACCTAAGAACCTGAAAAAAAGTCAAGTACAACTTTATTGTTAAATGTGCTGTACAGCACAGATGAAATTTCTTCCCTCTCACAACATACAACAAGAGGAGCCGCTGCGGGTGCCCGCGCCACCATCAAAAGAAAAGTTAACATAAAATGACAAAGTAATACAAGACAACACATTCGACTGTGATCTGTGATGACGGTCAAAACAAATTGCTACTGAGATCTATTGTATTTGGATCAATCTGACTAAACTGTCGCCACAAGAACACTTTCATTAACTGTCGCTCTCGGCGATGCTGCCGGTAAAATGTTTCATATTTGATGATCATACTGGTCTGATCCAATGTTGACAAGTCAGTTAAAAACAATAAAATATGCTACCACGTCACACAAGCAGAGCTAATAGGTCGCAGTCTACATCTTCACGCAAAAGCTCATTCTTGTCAAACATCACCAAACAGATGCGACTCCAATGCACGGAGCAAGTTACAGAAAAATACAAATCACACACCTTTGCTCAGTTCTCAACATGACTACTCGCAATGATCCTTGACTATCATCCCACTGCATCACACTTCAACCCTCGCCATCACTGGAAAAAAGTACATTAGTTGTGGTGAATATTCTTTGTCATTCCTTATCACTGTCGTTCTTTCAGAAAAAAATGTTGCAAGGAGCAACAACAAAAAAAAAAAGTCAACAAAAGCAGCAAAAACACAAAGTTCATCCTTTGATGCTGGCTCGAAAAAAAACCGAACAAAGGGAAAATTGATTTTTGATTACTGTATGTCAAATAAGGACAACTCCAAAAACAAAAAGGCATGTTTTTCAGGAAAATTTTGGATCGACCCTCCAAGGTACAACTGGAATACTTTCAAGAAAATGGCTTACCAATTGTGTAATATGCAGGAGGAATATCTCATACGGAGGCCACCTTCTCTGTGAGGTGTATTCCTTGTCAGTGCATTCCTATGCGGCTTGTTTCCGCACCTCGACAAGCCAGTAATCACGGCTGGAATTCACACAAACAACTCCCACTGACACACATCAAAACCTGCACTTCCAGTGTCATGTAGAGCAGTGGTCCCCAACCAGCGGTCCGCGGACCGGTACCGGCCCTCGGCTTGTTTGGGACCGGGCCGCACAGAGACAGATTTGCGTGCTGTGAGAAATTTTACTCCATCAGGCATGACGTGGGAAATGTACGTCCCACTGCTAACGATGGTGTGCAAGTTGAAATAAACAGAACCCACCAATTAATGAAAGTAGAAGCAGTAAACAGAAAGTAATCGTAGCAAACATACAGCTGTACGCGCAGCTGCTGGCCGTCGCAAGGCGACGTGGAGGCTATTGTGCATGCCATGTCATCAAAAACAACACAATAAAAGAAACCTGTTGAATCCTTTGAACAAGTAGCAAAAATGCGAGCGGAGTTCGAACAGCCTCCCCACGTAAACGTTAGCAGTTTTTAGTTGCTAATAACGAGTGGGCAGCCACCGGATGAAAGCAACAATCAATCGTGTCATCTTTTGATCAGTCCCATTTGCGAGTAGCAATGATGCTAACGCCGTATGTCGGATCGTAACTTAAAAAATGATTATATTTACATTGTTAGGTGTATTTATTGTTCGTAATTGGTCCATTTTGTTAGTAGTTCACTGTGTTATTTTATTTTAGTCTACATTCGTTGTGCAGTAGAATTACACTGTTTGAAAAGAATGAATGTGAATAAAATGTTGAATTACTCGTCGTGGTGCTACTCACAACTCAATTTTAAAATGGCAATTTAAAATTGATTAAAAAAAAAAATAATAATAATAAATAAAAATATAAGGTTGCCGGTCCACAAACAGCATGTACTAGTCTCAATTGGTCCGCGACACAAAAAGTGGGGGACCACTGATGTAAAGCACATTTTTACTCAGCAAAGAGTGCACAGTGGTTTCCACAACATGTTTACTGAGTCATTCCAGAATGAAAAACATTCTTGATCTCCAAATGCATCAATATTGCTTCTGTTCTTAATACACAGGGGAGAGATGACCACGTAGTTACTTGTAGTTCCTTCTTTTCCACACACGAGTTGGAATGACTCGCCATAAACAGGCTGCAGGGCTGGCACGCAATGACACCCATTTTTTCGGGATTCCAAAGAAATTTTGAAGCTTTTTCTTTCCTGTACAAAGTTGGAGCTTAGGTAGATGCAAAAAAAAAAACGATCTACTGTTTTATATAAACTTCGCCCACGGTTTGGGTGAACCAAAAATAGGAGGAAGTGGTTGTTGTTGTCTGCGTGAAAAGCGTCACAGGGTGGCTTTGAGGAGCCTCTACACTCTTCACAGAGAAGAGACAATGCGGAGACAAGCCGTCGCGCTAGGCTTCCTCCTTTCAAATACCAGCGACCTCACACCTTCTTGTCAGTGCCGCACATTGTTCATCACTGATCCAGAGAATTCAACTTGCAAGCGGCGCATTGCTCCAAAGTACTAACTAAGCTGATAATTACGTAGCTCATGGGATCATCTTAAAGGCCTTAAGTGGTATTTGGTTGGCTTGGTGGAGCAGTTGAATGTGGGGAAAGAAAATAAAACACTGAAGTGAAGACACCCCTCACTAGATCGAGCACAATGGCTCCACGCTCCGTTGTGTTTACATTTTCAGCAAGAACAACTCCGACTTCCTTACTTAATGTTCAGCTAGCAGAAGATTTATCGTTGTAGCGCTGCTACTGGATGTGTTTCTATTTACAGTATTGTACAAGATATGCCTCGGTTAGATAACAGAGGTGTCAATTTCTTTTAACACTTGCAGACATTCTACATGAAGAACTTGGGGATGGTTGGCTGAATGCGTGTTGCGATTGGCACGGATCCTTGTCCAAGCCCAGGAAATCGCCTCGACTGATTTGACTACATTTTCAGATGTGTCTTTTGGAAATAAACTGTAAAAATATCCAAAGACATGACTTGATTGATTAAGAGGTCAAATTCTAATTACTTGCATTCTTGAAGAGAAAACAAGTTGTTTGTTTTAGGGGTTGCATCAATACACCGAGTGAGCCAACACAAAACCGGGTATTAAAAAGGTTGATTAATTCCTCATGCTTGTTCAAAATGGAAAAATGTTGAGGACTCACTGAAATTGAAAGTCTACACTTTAAATCACTTTAAATAGGAAGTCAACCCTCCAAAAATTATTTCCGATATGTTCGATGCAGCCCCGCTTGTCTAAACACGACATCCTGATTAATGTGCTGCATCAATACACCGAGTGAGCCAACACAAAACCGGGTATTAAAAAGGTTGATTGATTCCTCCTCATTCTTGTTCAAAATGGAAAAATGTTGAGAACTCACTGAAACTGAAAGACTACACTTTAAAGCACTTTA